GTAGAAAGAGAAGGAAATCAAAGCACAAGATGAGGTAGATTGGTGTTTAGCATTTCCCCTAACATGACATGCCCATTAAAGATTAAGGCTAAAGAGACAGGCGAGGCTAATGGGAAGCGACGCAGCGTTTTAAGCCTCGGCCATGATGAGTTACAACCCTCAGCAGCCGCACTGCTGCGGTGACATGTTGACTGCTCTTGATTCAGCCGGCTCCTTCTCAGAGTCGGCCGGGAGAGCGACGGATCCCCAGCGTACATCCAGCGCCGGCCTCAAGCACAGCTAACCTTTAGTCGGCTTAACGTTACAGAGATTAAAACACACTTGAGTGTACTTTCTTCTTCTGCTTTGTGCCACCCTTGCTTTCATTACTGCGTAGTTCATGTAATCGTGTCTTCGGGCTTATCCTACGATTACCAGCTGTATTTGATTCGAGATATAAGCTTGTAATGAACTCAAGTCAAGAGGGAGTTTGCAACATTTTAGTGCAGCAAAACTTCATGTCTTATGCATATCAGGTAAAAGCTGTTTAAGTTTTGCCCAGGCTCTTTCATTATACGAAAAATCCGCATCTGATGACTGAGCACGTATTGTTAAACAAAGTTCACCCATTCCCTGCTGGAAAAACTAGCTGAAACCGGTTGGCTGGTTTTATCTGATCTTCCAGCCTGGTCATGACTGGTTTGCAGGCTGGTTCTACAAGGGTTTTGACCACTCCTTTAGCATACTTCCAGCTTAAACCAGCTAAGACCAGCCAACTAGTGCAGGCTCGTTTAAGTTTTTTTTTTCTCCAGAAGGAAATAATTATTGATTCACCTTCATGTCATTGAGCTTCAAGAAGAAGAAGAAGAGGAAGAAATATTAACTGACATTTGGATCTGTTTTTCATAGAAGCTATAGCTTAAAACAGATTAGAATATAGCTTGTATGGATGACTTTTTATGGTCCATTAAATACAAATAACATTTATAAAATCCGTACTTTTTAATTAAATATAAAATCACAGCAGGGTAACCATAGAAATGTTCCCCTCATCTTTTTTTTTTTTTTCATAGACAACAAAGAAAAACTTTTGTGTGTGTGCAAAAGCAACTGCATATGGGTTTGAATTGACATGCAGGTTTGTAAATCTTTTTTTATTTATTTATTTGATAATTAACTATTCATTTAAAATAGCAATCCTTTATATGGTTTTCAAATGTATCCATTTGTCTGCTTTTTCAATATTGAAAGAGAGTTGGACTTGTAACCCGAAGGTTGTGGGTTCGAGTCTCAGGTCCGGCAGGGATTGTAGGTGGGTGGAGTGAATAACCAGTGCTCTCTCAATACCACGACTGAGATGAGACCCTTGAGCAAGGCACTGAACCCCCAACTGCTCCCCGGGTGCTGTAGCGTTGGCTGCCCACTGTTCCGTGTGTGTGTTCACTACTGTGTGTGTGCACTTGGATGGGTTAAAGTGCACATATGATGTTGCTAAAAAGAGCATTATTTTGTGTATTTGGTGTAATTAAATGTGTTTATGCAGTTTAAGGTTCAAAAAACACTTTATTTTCCACATACTGTACATTATTGTTTCTCCTCTATGCCCCGCCTTTCTGAAACGCATCGATTTTTACAAAGCTCATTGGTCTGAAAAGCGAGGTGTGCTCTGATTGGCCAGCTATCCAGTGCGTTGTGATTGGCCGAATACCTCAAGCGTGTGACTGAAATGTTGTGCCCCTTTCCATACTGTGATGCCCTGTCTGGCCAGAGCGACGAGACAAAAACATTAAAACCCATTATAAACTATGCATTTGTTGCATCCAGTGGGGACATAATTACAGATTATAATGATTTATACTGTCTTTTTACGCATCGCATCACGCCTGCGTAAACATAAAACCATGTGTGCATTTGTGATCGGAGGAATGACAAACAACAAGCGCTACTCTACACTGCTCAAAACTCGCGTTTGAATCATCAGTGGCAAATCCTTTAAATATTTAAACGTACTTACAGTCTGTGAGTCAGAACAGCCGACATTGTAGTCTACTTTCCCAGGATCAGGAAACAGTCCCCCATAAAATGTGCTGGACAAATCTGAATATTTGTGTTGAACTGTTCTGGAACAGTGTTGTAAATACAACTTAACCACTGATTTCTAGTTGTGTCCTATTTTGGAAGGCCAAACAAAGTAGTTTTCGCTTTCACAACGAAACACAGCGTCACACACGGCAGGCTAGAGTGAGCAGAGGCCGGCGGATTCGACGAAGGAGTGATGGGCGGGCTTGTGGCAACCACATGTGACGACCCTGGGCTGGACTCCGCTTCGTCCACGGTGAAAGCCGATCCGGTGATCCACAGCGCGAAGTTGATGTATTTCCTCAGCGACCAGCACATATCAGCTCTAGGCATGACGAAGCGGATATCGTCCTCTTTTGGAAGGCCAAACAAAGTAGTTTCACTTTCACATTGAAACACACAGCGCATTCACGACATGGCGGCAGCAACAATACTACAGCGATAATAAAAGTTATGCCTTCTTTCTTTGCGTGAACATTTGGGCGGCGTTATGCAAATCTTCCCACATCCTGACGTAGACGTGTTAGAACGATCCGTTTTAGGTAGGCATGGTTGACTCTTAACTTTTACAAAGAATATCTCCTTGGATTTGAGACTTTAGTCTTTGCAACTTCACAGAGCTTATTTATGCACCAAGAGCTTGTAACGCTCCAAAGAGAAAGGAAACATTTTAATTGCATCATATGATCCCTTTAAATGCAGAGCACAAATTCTGAGTATGGGACACCATACTTGGCCACACGTCACTTTCACTTTCAAAAGCACTTCTGCTGGAGTACAATTTTTCCATCTTCTTTCCAATACATGCATACTGACCCTTCTAAATGAGATTAGTGCACCTGAATCCTGGAGTGCTGCTTTATATTTAAGCCCTTAATGGCCTTGTACAGACACACAGAAAGACCAGATGAGACTAGTGTCTAAGTACATATTTGCAGAGTGCTGGGTGGCAGGGTGATTGAGTTAACATGGGCATTGTTTGAAATGTCACCATCTGCCTCACAACTGCTGATCCCCAATCAATTTAAAATGAATACTGTTTCCTCTCCCTCCAAATCCAGTGGCGAGCTTTGAGATCTTCATTATAGATTGGCCTAATGAGCTGACGATCTGGGACAGACACTGGACATTTTTTATAACGATCATGACATTTGGCCTCTAAGAATCATGTTAAAGTCATGCACATATATTGGGCGTTCACAGGAAGTAATACTATTAGACACATCCTATCATATGTGTAGGACATATATTTCTGATAAAATAAAATACAAAGATAAATTCTAAAAAAATATATATTTTTGTGTTCAGAAGTAACAATAATTTTTTATAACGATCATGACATTTGGCCTCTAAGAATCATGTTAAAGTCATGCACATATATTGGGCGTTCACAGGAAGTAATACTATTAGACACATCCTATCATATGTGTAGGACATATATTTCTGATAAAATAAAATACAAAAATAAATTCTAAAAAAATATATATTTTTGTGTTCAGAAGTAACAATAACAGCTTATATTTATATATGCTAGGTATGTTTATATATATATACTGTATATATATATATATATATATATATATATATATATATACTGTATATTTTATACTTTTTTGTATTTTTATAGACACATACATATCTAAAACATATTTCACATATAAAATATGATTACATTTAAATAAATATTAAATACATTTATTTAAGGTTTTATGATTGAACTTATCTTTGCTCACAAAATGGGCAACATCCCAACAGTCATTTGCAAAATAAATAAATAAATAAATACAAATTGCTTCTGATAAGTCAAAAGCTTAACGTAATGCATTTATAAGTGTTTCTGGGCATGCAAAGAATTGCTCAGGTTTTCTGTAAAAGAGAACATTTATTTTAATGAAAGTTTGATTCCATTTGCACATCATCAAATTAACTGCAACCAGCTCACATTTACAGTTTAACACTTTGAAAACACAGAAACAATAATACTGAATGTACATATTTCAAGAATATTTAGTCATCATTGTGGTATATAAATATTTGGTACAAAATTTCACAAGATATAAAGCAAAGTAGCACATGGACATAATCTACTCTTCCAAGCCACTGGTACAAAGCACTGTTCATTAAACCAAGTTTTTACAGCATGAGTTACCATCTTTTTCTTCATTTTGTCTTTTTTACAGCATATCAGTGACAAAGAATGGAATTTCTGCTTCTAAAACACAAATATTTACCTGCTGAAGCGCTGTTCAGAGCTGACTCACCCCCTCCTAACTGAAGAGGTGAAAGCAATCCCAGGCTCATTTTGTAGTTTGAAGAGAGGGCGCAATCATTGCGGAGTGATTTACTTTACGATTTGACTCACACCTCAATACAACACTGTTGTGGTTAACATTCAGCCGAGGAATAAATCAGTTGAGTTTTTATTACTTCCCTGGTTATTTGACTCTCGCTATTAAAAGCAGAAGGTTGTCAGAGGAAAGGTGAGAATTGCAGCTTTAAACTGTGATTAATTAACAATTTTGGTTTCGAACTCTTGGTCCACAAAGCTGTAATTCTATGTATGGATATTAACGTTTCATTCTCTTTCGGCTGGTTTGACTCTTTTGTGGTTCATGTCATGGTCTCATCTGAGTGAATAGACACAGAGGAAAAAAAAAAGCACACGCATACAGTGATTAAAGGTAATAGTATGGAATGTAAATTTTGCAGCACGTCATTAAGGGACCGTGTGAAAGTCTGAAAGTCATATTAAGCAGTTCTGAGTTCAACCAAACGTTTGTCAGACTGCTAAAGGAAGCAAAACACATTTAGGTCCAATGACATAGCAGATAATTGTAAGCTTATGGCTTTTTTTCTTTTCATGTGGATGATGAAAACCAGTGCCAACCGTAAAACATCTTCTGACCCATTTTCTAGATGGGCTTCATACAATCACAAACACATCTTTTCTTGAGTGCGTAAGCAGATTAGTAAAATTATGCAAATGGTTAATAGTAAGGTTTGAAAATTCCTCCCAGTTATTAGACAACTCCTATGATGTTGAGTGGTTTGATTCTGAGCTGCCCGCTACACGTTGAGGTCTGATGGTGAATTCATAGGCTCGAGTTTGGCGGTGGTTTCATTACTTTCATAAAGTCCTCGGCCTTGGCCTTTTTTTAGTCAATGACCTGCTCGAGTGTCACTTGAAGTGTTTCACAGGCTCACAGTCAACTGATAAACTGCTCTTTGCAGCAGGATTTGAAGAGCGCTTCTGCATTAAATGCTTGGCTTTTCAAAGAACGTTTTCAGCGATGGTTACAGATATGAAAAACTGCAGGCATCTCCAGAGCAATCTGGGATTATGCAGGAAGATGTCACAACAGATGATCTTTCTGATGAGAAGCCAGCGTACGGATACGTCCTCCTCGCCAGAGCATGACATTCATCAGCCAATCAGGACAGAGCAACCGGCTGCCTGATTGTCGGACAAAGAGAAGGATAAAAGGGCACTTTGTAAAAGAAATTAGGATGCCTCATTCTGCCACTCCAGTCTTCATGTAGAGGCAGATCAGCAAATGAGTCTCACTCCACAGTCTGTCCGTTAGGAGTCCCAGTCGCTGTCCTCGCCGCCGTACATGTCTGCTAGCTTCCTGAAGCGCGGTCCCCACTCGCTGAGGTAGTTATAGTCCTGCTCCCCTTCCGAGGACATGGACCCCAGCGAGCTGAGCGACTCGGCCACCGATCCGTTACCTTCATACGCGTAGGTGGCCAGCGAGTCGTAAGGAGGAGCCGTGGGGTTGCCATCGTTTTCTTGCACGCGCTGGTTGATAAAGTTCCGCACATCTGCGTTCTCACGGGACGGCACCAAGGTTTTGCGAAGTGGCGGCGGAGGGTAGAGCGACTCTGAGGGTAGGATGTCCCGCCGCAGTTTGCTCTCCTCCATTACTTCCGGATGTCGAAGCGCTCCGATGTCAAAGGCCTGAGTGTCCTCCTCGCCGCCGCCCTCGTCATTGTAGCTGACCACATTGTCCCTCACGTCCTCCTTGGAGATGATCAGAGGCTCTTTCTTCTTCTGTCGTTTCAGGGCAGCAAACAGCACCACGATCACTACAGAATGAGAGATGGAAAAATGCAATTATTATAATTATTATTGATGCACCAGAATGAAAAACCCTTGCAAATATTATTTATACTCATACATGTATATACAGGTGTGGTGTCAGTAAGATTTTATTTTTAATTTAGCAAGGATACATATAAATTGATCAAAAGTGACATTTATATTGTCACAAAATATTCAAATAAATGCAATTCTGAACTTTCTATTTATCAATGAATTATGACAAAAAGTATCAAAGTGTCCACAAAAATATTAAGCAGCACAACTGTTTTCAACATTGATAATAATAAATGTTTCTTGAGAAGCAAATCAGCTAATATTGGAAATATTTCTGAAGGATCATGTGACACTAAAACCCAGAGTAATGGCTGCTGAAAATTCAGCTTTGCCATCACAGGAATAAATTATTTACATTTGAAAATATATTATTTTATTTTAATTGCATTCAAAATAAAAGTTTGAGTTTACACACTATATTCACTGATGTTTCAGAAGGAATCACGATGCATTAAGAGGAACTTTTGAACAGGATGAAGATATCAACATTTTTATTATTTTGTTGAAATATAATTTTTTTTCCCATTTAGTACTGCCCTTCGGAAGCAACAGAAGATACTTGCATGTTTCCCGGAAGACAAATTAAGTACAATTACCTTGATCTTCAAATGTAAAAAGTGCTCTTAATGCATCGTGTTTCCTTCTGGATCATCAGTGAATGTTTGAACCTTTTTTAATAGTTGTGTTTGAGTCCCTCAGTTGTCCTCAGTGTGAAAAGATGGATCTCAAAATCATACTGTCACTGCTGGAAAGGGTTCAAATATGCTAAAGATGGTGGAAAACTGAAGAATCTGCAGGACATGGGAGGATTTTTCTGAAGAACAGTGCTCAGTTTAACTGTTCAGAACAAACAAGGGACTCATGAACAACCATCACAAAACAAAATAAAAAAACAGTCATCGATCATCCAGGTAACCACACACAGTATTAAGAACCAAGGGTTCCCAAACCTTTGAAGGGGCCATTTTAATAATTTCAGCATTTTTTTTTGTCTTGTGGACTATATGTAAACATCTTTTATGTAAAATATCTTATTCAAGACAGTACTAAATAAAAAATGACATGCATTTTGTATGATCTCTTGTATGATTTTGTTAAAATTATTCACATTTTCACAGATTAAAGTGTCCACAAAAATATTAAGCAGCACAACTGTTTTCAACATTGATAATAATAAATGTTTCTTGAGAAGCAAATCAGCTAATATTGGAAATATTTCTGAAGGATCATGTGACACTAAAACCCAGAGTAATGGCTGCTGAAAATTCAGCTTTGCCATCACAGGAATAAATTATTTACATTTGAAAATATATTATTTTATTTTAATTGCATTGAAAATAAAAGTTTGAGTTTACACACTATATTCACTGATGTTTCAGAAGGAATCACGATGCATTAAGAGGAACTTTTGAACAGGATGAAGATATCAACATTTTTATTATTTTGTTGAAATATAATTTTTTTTCCCATTTAGTACTGCCCTTCGGAAGCAACAGAAGATACTTGCATGTTTCCCGGAAGACAAATTAAGTACAATTACCTTGATCTTCAAATGTAAAAAGTGCTCTTAATGCATCGTGTTTCCTTCTGGATCATCAGTGAATGTTTGAACCTTTTTTAATAGTTGTGTTTGAGTCCCTCAGTTGTCCTCAGTGTGAAAAGATGGATCTCAAAATCATACTGTCACTGCTGGAAAGGGTTCAAATATGCTAAAGATGGTGGAAAACTGAAGAATCTGCAGGACATGGGAGGATTTTTCTGAAGAACAGTGCTCAGTTTAACTGTTCAGAACAAACAAGGGACTCATGAACAACCATCACAAAACAAAATAAAAAAACAGTCATCGATCATCCAGGTAACCACACACAGTATTAAGAACCAAGGGTTCCCAAACCTTTGAAGGGGTCATTTTAATAATTTCAGCATTTTTTTTTGTCTTGTGGACTATATGTAAACATCTTTTATGTAAAATATCTTATTCAAGACAGTACTAAATAAAAAATGACATGCATTTTGTATGATCTCTTGTATGATTTTGTTAAAATTATTCACATTTTCACAGATTTTGCAAGATGTTCCCAAACTTCCGCATGCCACTGTGTATATATATATATATATATATATATATATATATATATATAT